CCACAATTAGCATTTTAATTTTAGCAATTATTTTTGAATTTTATCATTCCACAAATACTTTTGCTAGGGGAGTGTATTAATGCGGAGAAAAACTCTCCGGACACAAGTTGCTATAATTCTGCATTTTTGAGCATAGATAGCAACTCTCTAGATGTCACCTATTTTAATTCTCCATCCTCACATGCGTACCAAAGCACTATTTACTTTGATGACCACTTCTAAATACAACCAATTATATATGATAATTCTCTTTATGCATATATAACTCCGAACTTATGAATTATCTTTCCCTTTTAATAACAGTGCTATGATTTACATTTTGCGAAACCTCTTAATCTATACTAGTTATTTAATTACGAATAAACATGATTCTTAACAAGTTTTGTAATTAAAAAGAACCCACTACTCATTTTAAGTAAAAAATATAATGCAAATTTTCAGATACATTTATGGATATTTTATTATGTATTAAACTTTTAGGTCTTAACTTAATATGAATAATATTCTAACCGGATAGAATTTATGTACAGAAAAATACAATGAGTGCTTTTTGTTTGCAATTCCTTTTTTTGAATTTCAGCACAAAATAAAAATAGTACGCCCACAACATCTAAATAATAATATCGGATAATTTTAATTAATATTTATATGTAATTAGTGACTCGATTAAATCTGCAACGAAAATTTTTAATTAAATTTCATTAATTTAATAATCTCTATAATCACTGTTACATGTAATTGTTAGTTGGAATTTTAATCGTTAGATTAAAATTATCTTCAAAAGAAACGATTCAAAATTTTTTTGAATTTCGATTTCAATATAGTATAAGAAAATCATTTGAAAAATACACATATGGATTAATAACATTATTATTTTACAAGTTGTTAGGAATGGAATTTTTAACATATAAATCTAATTTATAAATAAAAATATATTTTATTAATCCGGTTGTATTTCGTTTGTATTTGTATTCTAATGAATAATTAAATATTTAATTTCAACCCACCACAAAAATTTTAAGTAATAATTAGAATTGAAAAATCAAACCACAAATATGCGAAACAATAAGAAAGCATACATTAAGAATTGTGATTGTAAAATTGTTTGACTCTAGTAATCAAAAGCGCTACAAATTACAGATAAATATAAATATCAAGAATATCAAAATAATAAATAATAGTATAAATGTGATGTAAATTATTATAAAAAGAGCATACAAAGTTATTATTTTTTAATGAAATATTTGCAATAAAGTATTTGTGGGTACAATATTTGCTTGTATTAAAATCATTGTGAAAGTATATCTTTTAAATAAATAAACTAAAATGCATAAATTGTGTAATAAATAAACAAATATATTAAACATTGTTAAATATACTAAATATAGTTGTGGCTTTAAAGTAAGCGTAAACAACATATAAATTTATGAACATGTGACGAATGATTGATATTTATTTATAATTGGTGAGAAAAAAAAGTGAGTGCAATTTATGGTTTGGTATATGATTTTTCTCCCAGTTAAGTGTAGTTAATTCTCATTTAAACCAAAATAAGATTTAACCAAATTAATATTTTGTAAAAATAGATAAATCTTTAATTGATTTTTGTACACGATTTTTTTTTACTAAATTTTTATTTAAAAATGCTACAATAAAAAAACCGACTAAAAATAAAAAGATAAAAATCAATATTTTTATTATTTCTATTATGGCAGAATTTTCCATTACGTCATGTAAAATGAGTTCATTGTTAAATAAATTTCTCTTCTTTAGGATAAAAATGCAATCCATTGGTTAAATTATGGTTTTGTTCGCCAAAATTCTTTAAATGACGAAGTTACTAATGCCCGATTGGAAAATAATGGGCTGTCTCTAAGGTTCTCTAAAAGGGTTTTCCATTTATATCTTCATTTGACTATCTGTTTCATGAGATTCAGACTTTCTCTTTTTTATCATATAAATGAATTCGTTATTTTCATTAGATTGAAAAAACAGATGCGTAGGGGAGGAAAATTGAGCTTTCAGTTGTTCGATTGAAAATAGTTGTACTAGAATTATTAATTGTCACTTGAGTAAAAGTAATAAATATTCGAAATAATCTTAGTTGTAAATCCTTTGAAAATAGACTAAAGCTCCTCAGTTCAGTTCAGTTCTAATGTTGAAACCGAATCGGAATTGAACTGAACCAAACCGGTTACACCAATTCAAAAAGTTTTTCATTATCTAAATCTTCCTCTAGTTCAAGATCAAATCCTTCAAATTCCATTAGGATAAAAAAATATTTGAATAACAATATTTAATAGTTTTATACATTTCTAAAATAGATAAATGTCCATAATAATAATAATACAATAATTTTGATAATCGGATTTTCTATTAATATTAACTAATTTATTTTTATAGTAAAATAGCAACCGTTCTCAACGAAAAAACGGCAACAGCAACAAAAAGAAAGTGAGATAAAGATTGAATATCTTTTTTTTTTCGTTTGTATTATGTTAACTAATTGATTTTCATTTAGGATGGCTACGATAAAAATGTTAGAATAAAAAAGAAACCCGTGATGAAAAAAAAGCAACAAAAAAATCGATGAATTGAACGGGAATCTCCTGGTTTGGATTTTAATGAACCGAAACTGGACCGGAACCGATCGTTCGGATTCGGTTCAAACTGAACGGTTAGGAGCTTTAAAATGGACTCGGTTTATCATTATGAGTAGTTTGAGATAAATAGTATAAATGATTTGGTTTAAATTATTACATTAAATCCTCCAAATATATAATGTACACACAGCTTCCAATCGATGGAATACCAGCATTATCAATTGTTGTTTGATACTGACACGAGACTATCATTGATTAAATTCTCAAATAACTCAATTATATAATCGAGATGATAATTTAAATGAAGTGATATTATATTATTATTTCTTTGGTTGCTGCTGAAAATATAATTACTACCATGAACATTTGAAGAATTTGTGGAAGTATCTGAATTATCATTTGTAATATTGTAATAGATTTATTACTTAAAAAAGCTTTCTCTTGAAATTTCTCCGATGTTGTTGCATTTGTTAAATGTCATAATTGGAATTTTAGGAAATATTTCTTAATATCTTTACTATTGATATGATAAGCTAATTTTTGGCTTAAAGACTCCATAAATTAAGATTCTTAAGACACGTTCTGACTTAATTGATTCTTCTATAACTTTATTCGTGAAATTTCAACAGAATCATTATACCACCAATAACAGAATATGTTAAGTTTAAATCCTAAATTAGTGATCTTTCGATTATTTTTGTTGCATTAGATATAATTTGGATTTGGAGAAGACGGAAACAAAATAGGGGTCACACCTTGCGTCATTAAATAATTAACATCACAAAATTGATAATATCCATAATATTTTATTTCAACCCACATCGGCACTAATCTTTGCTTATTAAAATAGCTCATGCTAAAACATTTAACTATTTACTCCATCTTTAAGAGGGTGTTGAATGATGTAAATCATTTTTGGGTCTCGGGGGTAGGAGAAATGGAATAAATTTCATTTTATGAATTAATTCTTTAATATTATTCATATTTCTAAATAAAATATCTATGCAGAACGCAAAAAACAATCAATGACACAACAAACATCTTTTTTTTACGGGTGTACATATTCCTCACCAATAATATTACTTACCAGTACTCGGAAAAATATAATAACAAACATGCATAATATCGAACTACGATTTTAAATATTTTAAGAATGGATCAACATTTATCAAAGAAATGGAAAAAGGTATGTTCAAGAGAATGCAGTGCTCCAAATGTTATCATAACATTTAATCCATTACCATTAGGCATAATCCTACGATTTTTGACTGATGGGTAAGTATGCAATACAGTATATATATCAGCATTCTGAGACCTTTGACAAACAAAAAAAAAAAAAAATCGGATAATTAATTAAAAATGTCTCTTCCTATCAATGCCACAAATGTAGTAATAGTCCCATTCCCTCCATCTATTAGTGTAGATGAAATCATACAAATGCATTTAAAAAATGGCATTAAGAATGTTAATGAAACAATGAATGCATTCATGATTTATCGTAACGAATTTAATCACATTCACCAAAACTTTAACCTTTCATGTAAAAATGTGTCAAAATTAGCAAGTAAATCTTGGAAAAATGAGTCAGAATATGTTAAAGACTATTACAAACAGATATCTAAAGAGGTTAAGAAACGCTTTAAAGAAATCGTCCCTACTCCTTGTTTCATTAACAAATTTGGAACAAGCAACCAAGTTGATACAAATAATGTTTCTCTAGAAACCAATCCTCCTATGGACAAAAACTCACCAGACACTATTTATTCTAGTCACCAATTTGTTAATATGGGTCCTATGAACCAGATCTCTCCAGAAATTACCTGTCAAAATTCTCTACTTATGAATACAGAACAAAACTCTTTAGGCTATAATTCTCCACCTTCAAATTCACCTGATGCTATTTATTCTAGTCACCCAGATGCTACCTACTCTAATTCTCCTGTGGAACAATACCCTCTAGAAATCACTTTCATTGATACTTCGAAAATGGACCAAATCTCTCCAAGCATTAACTGTTATAATTCTCAAAAATAAATGTTCTAGACACCACCTATGTTAATTCTCCACCTTCAAACTCTCTCAGCACTATTTATTCTGGTCACCAATTTATGAATATGGGTCAAAATTCTCCAGATATTACCTACTCTAATCTTCCTGTGGACCAATACCCTCTTGAATTTACTTTCCCTGATCCTTCGAATATAGATCAAATCTCTCCAGCCATCGGATGTTATAATTCTCTACTTACGAATGCGGAGAAAAACTCTCCAGATACTATCAGCTATAATTCTACGTTTTTGAGTATAGATAGATGATACCTATTTTAATTCTCCACTTTCATACACGTACCAAAACACTACTTACTCTGATTATCCACTTCTAAATATCGATCAAAACTCAACCGATAATTCTCTTTATGCATATATGTATGATTAAGAACTTATGAATTATCTCTCTCATTAACTTATAGAACAATTTATTTAATAATCGGTTACATTTTGCGAACCCAACATTAGTTATTTAATTACATTATAATAATTGATAAAATAAATAGTGGATTCTTTTTAATTACAAAACTTGTGAAATGATACATTATATAAAGTACATTTATGGATATTTTCTCATGACTGAAGAAATGAAAATCTCGCAATAAGTATCGAAATTTTTCTTATTTCGGCACAAATAAAAAAACAATACGCATATATATAATATTTTTGTGCATAAAAAAAAAGACGTTTTCGTTGTAATTATAATAAGAGATTACCAGATTGTTCTAACATATTTTTTTAATATATTAGTGACTCGACAACGAAAATTTTTAATTTAATTTCTTTAATTTATTTAATAATATATAGATAAACACTGTGAAAATTATCATTTCAACGTAGTGTAATATAAGTGTAAGAAAATATGAATTAATAACTATTACTTCACAAGTTGTTAGGAATGGAATTATTAAATATATTTTATCAATCCGGGTTATATTTCGTTTGTATTCTTTATATTGGCCTCCAAAATTTGCCTTTAAATGCAAAAACATTTATGCCGAATAATAAAATATTTAAACCACAAAAATGTTTAAGTAATAATTATCAGACCACAAACATACGATACAATAAGAAAGCATACATTAATAATTATGAACAAAATTAAACTGATCTAAAAAATTATTTGATCTGTTCTAATAATTGTGCGAAATTTTTCCGTGAATAAGTAATTTTGGAATTAATTCAAATACAATTATTTGAATACTTAATGTAATCCATAATATTGAAAAGAGTTAAAGATTTTATATGTGTCGTGTTGTAAACCTAATAATTTATTATTTATTTATGATAATCTATGTTGTTGCCTGCCCAAAAAACCAAGGATTTAGAAATAAAATGTACGTGTAATTATTGTAATTATAAATTTTGTAATATATTAGAAATCATATGTTTTCAAAATTTAATCTTTCAATTAAAAATTTCATGTAAAAAAATAGATTGTACTATTAATATTTGCGTAATCATTCTAAAACAATATTTATGATTATTGGGAATCAACTTATTCGTTCATGTGCTACAAAGAATACCTGAATGTAAAAAAACATTGTAACCATTTGTATACATAAATTATATGGCACGTGAGAAACATAATAACGTAATTGATGTTGGTAAGCCAAATGACTAGAAAGATATAAACGAATACGATCAAGTTTTGCAAAACAACGTTATTTGTAGAGATGATAAAAGCGAAAAATGAAAACTTACGGGATCTCCAATAGCAAAAAGGTGGTTCTCGGCTCTTCCAATCAATTTTGAAAATTTGATCAATTGAAATTAAAAATTTTCAGATATTACCGAGGGCAATGGCAGGGGCAACTAATTCAAAAAGTAGTTCTTCTTCCAATTATAATATTTTACAAAATTCTTGTTTTCGATTTTATATTTAAACAAAGGGTTCTTTGTATTATAATGAAACGAAATTTTTTATATCAATGCCAATATGCACATTTATAAAAATATGCATATTTGTTTGTTCGAATTAATAATCTATAAGTAAAATAAGAGAATAAGAATTTATATAAAATAACCTCCCTCCGCAAACAACAAAAAACAGAATTTTAATTAAATGTCTCCAACTATTGTAAACTTAGTAAAAGTCCTATTTCCCCATCTATTAGTGTTGATGAAATAGTACAAATTCATTTAAAAAATGACATTAAGAATATAAATGAATGCATTCATGGTTTATATAAAAATCTATCAAAAATCATTTTAATGAAGATTTTGCTAAGTATATTTTATCCTGTACTGTAATTATTGTTATAAGAATTTTCGCTTTCAGTGTTGTCAAAATTTGTTTTTTTGATAACTTAACATCACTAAAAAGAAATATAAATACATACTTTTCTAAAGCAACTAATCTGGTGGTGATGTTTCGTTATATTCCATTTTTTATTTATTTATTTTTTTAATAATATAAAATTTAGGCAAAAATTGCATCAAGCCTAAAAGTTGAAATGCATACATGGTTTGAATATCTAAAACTTCTTTATTCATGCAAAAATTTAAGATTTTTCCAATTTTGGGTTTTGTAACATTTAACCCATGCGATTTGATTAATAAGGAATGTATGATACTTTGAAATATATTAATGTAAATTCGATATCTAATAAATGAGTTGAAAAATAAACTCTCTCCGTCGTTAAATTTCTCTTATGACGAGTATTGAATTGTTAATAGAGATGAAGGTATTTCCTAAACTCCATAAAAAAGATTATTTTATATTTATGTTCAAAAAGGAAAAAAAAATAGAATGAATAAAATAGGAATATATTTCAAAAAATTTATTTAAGTCTTTTTGAGATTCTTGAAGAAAAATTGGTTTCAAATTTTTGGATTTCGCTTACGATTTTTCTACATTCTGTATTCGATACTTTTAATTTGCTCTCGACATAAAGTCTAACCTTCAAAAATTAAGATCATTACTCTTTTTGAAAATTCATCGTTTGTGCATCATTTGGAATTTCATATCTTCTCTAGACCATGCATAAAATTCAATTTCTGTTATATTAAGTTCACGACGTTTTTCTTCTATATGTAATTTTTCAAGCGCAGTTTTTCATAAAGTATTGAAAAATCATTATCAGGACCTGTTCAACGTTAGTGTGAGTGTGTGTAATATGTATGTATGCTTAACCAATTAAAGGTTCCTCAATAATCTCATACCAACCAAAAATATATATATGCTTTGTAGCTAAATTGGGTCACAATAGAAATATCTTTATAAATTATATAAATTGAAAAACTGTATTCTTGAACATTATTTTCTACAATCATGTCTTTATCCAGAAATTTTCGTAATTTTGAAAACCAAAACGCTATCAAATTGGTAAACACCATTTGGCAATGTTTGGATAATTTAATAGACCCTCCTTTGAAAAAAAACAATAAAAAAGAAAATGAGCAAGATTTATTCGAAGGAGAATTATTTCTTGATGAGAATACATTAAACGAACGATTAGAATACTTGAATGATATAGTTACAGAAAAACGTCGAGAACTTGGAGTATCAGATTCCAAATTAGAACAAGCATTTCATAATGCAAGACTAAATCAAAGACGTCATACTTCAATTAATGAAGTATTTGGAGAGGTCTTGAATCAATTTAATTCTTTCATAGGCGTCGATTTTAATTTAACATTTAAAACTTCCAAAATGCTTAATGGTGATGATGATGACGGTAAATTTGGTATCATTAAAGATCTTTTGATAAAACTTCTGATTCCTAATTTATTAATTTTGATCCCCCGTTGTCCTCATTTTGTAAGTTTTTTTTTTTTTAATATATATATATAAGCAATGTAAATAACAAACTAATGAACATTCTTGCCTTCAATCCAGTTTACAAGAACAATTGTATTATTGTTACGGAATTTATATATCACTACGATAGTAACCTTAAAATCATTTAAAGCTCTTAAGAGTTCAAATAAAAAATTCGATGAGGTTCTTGCTGGTCACAAAGATCATTTCATGTTGTATTTGAATAATTTAGAACTTGATATAAATAAAATAGTAGAATTATTACAATTGAGTGACCAAATCTTTAGCAACCGGCAGTATGAAAAATTTCAAAGTAAGTTTTTTTTTTTTTGAAATTTACTATTCCTTTTTATTTTCTCATTTTTTTTTTAATTTAAAATATTTAAATTATTAAAAATATAGAACGCCTCAGGAAGTTTCTTGAAACAACTCAGAACTTAATGACATTATTAAAACTTATAACAGTGCAATGTGACGACGAAACGTCATTTTTGGAAGATAATAAAAGCATTTTAGAAAAAGTTGAGATTGGAGCTACGATTGTTGGTGGATTGTAAGTATAAATTTTATTTTATTTTTTTTTTCAAACATTTAATGTATAATATGAATAACATAAAAAATTTATAAATTAGGGCGTTTTTAATCGGAACTGCCATTGCTGCCGATACTAGTTCTTCGGAAAAAACGGTAAGATTAAATTATTCTTTTTTATATCAAGAATGAATGATATTAATTTTTTCGTTTTTTTTAAAAAAAAACAATGCAGAGAAAATATGGAAAAACCGCGGCAGCATTAGGGGGAGCCACTCTTGCAGCAACAGGACTATCCCATTTCTTTGTTCATAATAAGATTGAAAAATCTATTGGATATCAAAAACGTATGATCCGAGATTTAACCAAAATCCATGAAAACTTATTTGAATGGGATATAAGAAGTAATCAAATTAAAGAAAAAGATTATGATGAGATGGACTCTCATACTAGACAACAACTTGTTTTAGTATTTCAGGGTTATAAACAAATGAACGAAAAGTTCAAAGATTTTTTTAACATATTAAGATCAAATTATTTAATTGAATATTAATATAAATAATATAAATATACATATGATGTGTATCCTAAATATAAATATATTATACGGGTTGTGTCATTTATAAAAAATTGGGGTGCAATATTTTTTTTTTAAATAGGTTGTATTTATTTTTTTCAGGATTATTTTAAATCAAAAATATCTTAGTCAATATCCACTATTTAAATCATTTGATTTATTTGATTTCCTTCGATTCCTCCAGATGAATAATCTAAAATCCACTGAAATATTCTTTATTTATTTTTGTAAAAGTGTAGACTTTGTTGTATAACGTATCGTTTACTGATGTGATAGTAAAAGAAAGTTTGCTAACACCTGGGTGAATTATGTATTGTGCAGAATGATCCCAAATGTTATTAATGGATTGATTTCACCTTTTGTACTATTAATGTTTTATAAATATAAACATATATTAGTAATTCGACAACGAAAATTTTTTAAGTTAATTTCTTTAATTTATTTAATAATATCTATATAGATAAACACTGTGAAAATATTCCTGAATTTTCGATTTCAATCATTTAAAAAATCACACTTGTGAATTAATAAGTTGTCAGGAATGGAATCTTTTAATATATAAATCAATTTATTTATATAATATATTTATCAATCCGGATTGTATGTATTTCGTTTGCATTCTTCATATTTACATCCAAAAATTTCCTTTAAATGCAAAAACACTTATGCTGAATAATAAACAAAGATTCGATACAATAAAAAGCATATATTAAGAATTGTGATCAGAATTAAAAATTATTTGATCTGTTCAGATTTTCTATTTCCATGAATAAATAATTTTGGAATTAATTCAAATACAATTATTTGAATACGAATACTTAATTTAATAAATTTAATCAAATGAGATTTGAAATAAATTTTCGAAAAAAAGTTATTATTCAATTGTAAGTTTTACAATAGAGTTAATAATAAATATCAAAGAATTGGAAAGAAATGATGCCAGTAAATTCTAATCCATCATCCGTAATGTAGATAATAGGTAAAGATTTAGTCTGTAAATATATGCACCGCGTTGTAAACCTAATTATTCATTATTTGTTTATAATCTATGTTTGTTTCCCAAACAAGGATTTAGAAATAAAAATATACAGTGAACGCACCCTTCGGGGAATTGGTAATAGGGTGCATTTATAAAGGGGTGCGTTTATAAAAAATTTTGAAAGTTGCACGTCAATTCTGATCATCTGCTAAACTATGGACCAATAAAAATTCAGAGGGTATAAAGTGCCAGGATAAAAGCCGATCTCTGATGCATTCTCTTATTTACCTAAGTATTATTATATCGCATGAGTGCATTTATAGAGACTAATATTTATATAATCGGAAACAAAAATTTATTGTACCGTGCAAAATAAGAGGGTGCACTTAGCAATTATTCCCCTATTGCAATATTAAGTTTTAAATCACATGACTAAATTTTTACTAAATAAAATCTCATCATATGCATAAACTTTAATTCTTAAATATAAACTAGAATGGCGAGTAACAGATTAATAACTACCACCACTATTTTTAATATACAAATACTATGTGATTCTTTTCAT